CCACCCTCAGGGGTTAGCAGCATAGAGCAGAGATGAGGAGCGGCCTCCGCAAGGAAAGCTAGCTTGTACTGCCTATCCTCTAGGACGTCACTGCCAAGGGCAAATGCACCCCCGGCGGACGGCGGACGGGCTGGGTCACACAGCAGAGTAGTGGCGTAGTCAAGGTGGCAAGTAGAGGCAAAGTCAGCAACAGTAGCGACAACAGCCGAGAGACTAGAGACAGGAACGGAAGGTTCAGTAACGAGAGAGGCTAGGGACACGAGGAACAAGAGGGCGAGCAGCACAAAGGAGGTCAGAGAGAAGAGGAGAGGAGACAACGAGGGCACGACTGAGGAGGCGGCGGGAGAACAGGAGTGGGAGGAGCATGAGTCACGTGAGAACGAAGAAACATAGGGTGGACACTCGATGTGGGAGAGACGGGGCGAGCACGAGAGGGATGGTGAGACCAGAAGTATGAGGGAGGCGTCGGGTCAGGAGACAAACGAGGAGACACAGGAGGAGAACGAGGGGGGAAACGAGCCGGAGAGGAGTCCGACGGAGGGAACATGGGGCCGTAGGCAGGAGGAGGAGGCGGTGCTAGGGGAGGCGCGGGCGGTCGGTCGGAGGAGGCGGATGGAAGACCGAAGAGGCGAAGGGCGGATACTGGCTGCTGCTTCCGTAATCACACCAAGACCTCCAGCCCCACTGTAGCCACCGTCAGTACTCGCCGAGACAGCACCTCTAGGACCAGTACCCCAAGAACTAGCACCCCCAGAACTAGCACCCTCCTTAGAACCAACACACCTGGCGCCAACACCCCCAGAGCCCACCGGCCCCTGCGGTTGCAATGGCTGCTGCTGCTGCGATGGAGGAGGCACCGGGGCCAGGGGTGCAGCCGCCGCGGGAACAGATGGCGCACACGGAGCCTCGGGACCCCGTAAGCTAGGCAGCCCCAGACGTGAGACGCAGATGCGTCACCAGGGGACCCGGTCCAGAGGAGGGTTGGCGAAATCTGCAGGCACAAAGCGCGGGGCCACAGGTTAGGCTGGTGGGCGGCGTAGCGGACTGCGAACGGCCACAAAAAATGGGGTGCACGCGTATGGATCATGGAGGTACAAGCCACCTCCATGACCAAGCCGATGCATTGCCCAGCGATCTCATTCTGCTATGGGGAGTCCGGGAGTGCGTACGACTGGGTGATGCCCTTCGCACGACAGAATCGGCCAAGCCGGCCGGAGGCGAACTCGCCTCCATGGTCGGAGTGTAGACGAAGCACAGGCTAGGCTGTTGCTACTACTGCTGCGGCTGCTACTGTTGCTGCCTCGGCTGCTGTTATTGCTCCCTGGGTCATCAGCTCCCACCCCTCGTCCAAACCCCAGCACTCCCACCACCCCACCATCCCCAGCACCCTTCCCCCCCCTCCCCATGCACTCCCTTGGGCCGACGGGGGCCTCTACTCTGATGAGGCTGTCTCAAGCGACAGTAGCAGAAATGTCGGAGTAAGTGCATTGGGAGGGAGCACAACCCTGGAAGATATGGACCGCCGCAATACCATTAGACTGAGCGATAGTGCGCTGGCGGGTCTCTATCGCCGACAAGGTGGCGACAAAGTCGTCAAGGCCGTGGTCTGCGGGGTGTGTACTAAGGAAGGTTCACAGGCGCGTGGCTAGGAAATAAAGGGTGGCGCGAAAGGAGGGGGGAGGACAGTGAGCTGAGCCTCAGTGCTAGCAGTGTGGTAGCTAGACTCCAGGGCTCGCTGGTGGTTGGCCAGATCAGCGACAGTGGGGAATGAAGCTAGGTCAGGGAAGAAAGGGCACGAGGAGAAGGCCAGTAGAGGCGGAGGAGGGAGTGGAATAGTAAGCAATAGATCCTCCTTCGCATTATCTATGGCCTGAAAGCAGGGGCCTCGGGCAGCGGAAGGGCGTGACTAATAGCTAGCTGCGGAGTGACGTCACACGACTCCCAGACAGAGCGAGCTTTTTCAGCTGTTGCGAAACCTCACGCTCAACAGGTGTGGCGGCGGCAGCGAGGTAGCATGTGTGGGAGGGCAGGGCACCTTACCATCAATGTGGATGGCTAGAGACTGGCCGTCCTGGCGCTGACTATTCAACTGGCGGTGCTGGTCGGTGAGCCATGCCTCGAAATCCACCGGGCGACCCTTTGCGTCCAGGTGGAGAACGCCGTCCGCCATCGCACGCGCATGTCAGCAGATGCTATGCATCCACCAACAGTGGTCGCGCGACAGCAGAGCTGCAGTAGCTGAAGATACAAGAGGAGGAGCCAGGGGCAAGCGGGTGCGATAGAGACGGTGGAGGCGGTGTACGGCGATGGATGCGGTGGAGTGTGGTGGAATGCGGTGGGAGAGCGTGGAGCGCGGTAGCGTGCACGGCCGGCGAGGACGCCGGCTCAGTAGAGGAACCATGACCGGCGCGTCTGTGAGCAGGGGCCAGCGTGGCTTCGAGCAGGGGCCGGTGCGTGGCACCGAGCAGGGGCCGGCGCGGCCGGCGGCGAGCAGAGGCTGGTGCGGGGTCGAGCAGGGGGCCGGCGCGCCTCGACTGAGGGCCGGCGCAGCGTCGAGCCGGGGGCCTGGCACGTCGGCGAGCGGGGCCGGGCGCGCGACGAGCTAGGGCCTGGCGCGGTGGCGAGCTGGGGCCTGGAGAGAGGGGGGGGGGGCGCTCTAAGGGCGGTGCGGCTAGGCTAGGGTAGGCGACGAGCTAGGCAAGGGAAGGCTAGGGCGAAGCGCGGGTGGGTGGACCTACAGTGGCGGAACTATTGTCCGTAAAATGTTTTGCAATAATTTGGGTTTTTAGGCTTTAAGACCACTATACATTAAGCCTTACTATTTGATGGTGTACGATTTGGGATGGGCACATAGTGGATGTGTTAATAGCAAAAAAATCCAGAATAGTACATTGGATCTAACTGATATCCCAGAAGATAAACGAAGAGTGCATCCGGACAAATATTTCCAAGTAGAGAGAGCAAACTTCAGAGTTGCATTTCTAGTACATAGCCTACAAGACCTTTGGCCTTTATCACCACCCGCACCCTCCTAGGCATGTTACCTTCGAGGTTAGTAGAAACCTCGGCAGAGAACTTCTTGCACTCTTCCTAGACCCACCATTTTGCACAAGGGGTGAGCACTAGGAAAATCACGAAAAAATGGGCATAGGCAAGAGTATTGTGGACGATTTTGGATTGAATGGTATCTTTGAGACTAGCCATGTTGATGTGTGGCCAAAGATGCAATTAGCCGGTCGGCCCCATCTTATCACGGATCGTCTTCGTCGTACCATTGTAGGGTAAAATCACGAATAGAGCGGCCAAATCTAGCGTAGACACCGTGAAACCGAGGGTAACGTTGCACGTTGACTGTGCATTCTTGCACTATTAAAAACACACTAGGGTCCGTGGGTCTATTAACGGTGCAGCAGTCGTAGAAGCCATGACTGTTCTGGAAAAATATCAGGGCCGACTGCAATTCATGGAGTCGCATGTTGAGTGGATAATTAGTGTTCGAAAGCATATGATCCCCAACATCAAGTGCTTCAGCTCCAATGGCTGCATGTTTGCTGGATTTGTGAAGGCACAACCCTGCAGCACCACCAATCAAACAGACGGTAAACCATGGGGATAAGGATTGGTGATGGTGTGGGGATATGTGACATGTGCGGGGGTGGGGTTCATATGCAAGATTGACGGATGCATTGAGAGGCCCCTGTGTGAGGGCATTTTGCATGACGAACTCGAATTGACCCTCCATTTCTATAGCATTTTCCCCTCTGATGTCATTTCGGTGCGGACAATGACCCCAAGAATTTGTTATGCATAGTGCAGGAATGACTTGGAGAACATAAGTATGTAGGCCTTCTTTCTCATCAAACCTCAACCTCTGGGCTTACCTGAAAAGGGAGCTGGCCAAGCATAGAAGCCTTCCTCTGGAATCCTCGAGCTTTGGGATGTGATACAGGAAAAATGGAGAAGATCCATGCCGAGGTTTGCTCTAGCCTCATCGACAGTTCGTCTAGAAGGGTGCGGGCGGTGATCAAGGCCAAAGGTCGGTGGGCTAGAAACTAGAAACACACTTTTGAAGTTTGCTCTCACTGCTTGGAACCAGCGTAAAAGCCCAGATATAAGACCTCCATGGAATAGAAGATACGATGTCTTGTATCAGGCGTCTATCTTGTATTAGGATTTCTCATTTATAAGATCAGATTTTGGAGCGGTATGAGATAATATACCCCCCTCCCCCCTTATTTTCCTGCCACATTGGTAGGAGGGGGCAATGAATGTAATGCATGAGGTTCAAGAAATGTGTAAAACAACAAATCCACTCAAGTTTCCATTGTAGAAATCACAACCCTCCCTTTTATTAACAAATTCTATAAGGGAGACATTAGGTGCCGAGCCCTCTGACACTCCACATCCACATTTCCCCGCTTAAAGCGGCCCCATTACAGCAACTTAACCCAAGCATATAAGACCCATACGGGGAGACATATGGGTCTTATATCCAAGCTTTTACGATATTTGTAATGATGTATCCTTAGTAAATCTTTTGAGAGATGAGTTCCAATGTACTATTCTGGATATTTTGATGTGAACACATCCACTATGTGCAACTCCCAAATCGTACCACCATTAAACATTAAGGCTTGATATATAGTGGTCTTAAAGCCTAAAAACCCAAATTAATGCAATACATACGGACAATTGTTTCCACCACTGTACTTAGCTTCCATTGTACCACATGAGATGCGGGCTTTAAACACACGCAGCAGTTTGGAACGGACCGCGATCTAGGGTTACAGGAAAAAGGCCCGATTCTCACTTCGCCACAGGGTAGAGAGTCAGCCCCTTGCTTGCGAAATCGACGGCTGGAAGCTCCTTTTCTCTGATTGGTGTACGAGGCCTTCTCGGTGACTCTGGAACTTTCAAGGTTCGCTGTGTCTCCCATTCCACCGTCGTCGCCTCGCCCTGGATTTCCCCTCTGCCGTGACCTTCACTTCACGTTGCCTGTGCCGCGTCTCCATCCCATTCGCTCCTTTTCTCTGATTGCTTCGCTACTCTTGGCTTGCCCCTAGACGCAGCGCTAGCTATCTACTACGCTGTGCTGAGTTTAGCGTTTCAACGTCTGATCCTTCTGCTAACATCCCGCACACCAAGGAATGGACGAGGTGGGTCGTCGCGATTTGGCCCCTCTGACTTGTAATTCGGGAAGGTCTACACTTTTTCTGACTTCGCCACGACGTGCTTCTCCGTGTCGCAGGCCAGCAGTCATTCCGTCGTGCTTCACGTCTACGATCTCTCGCACGGCTTGGCGCGTCAGTTGTCGCAGACCCTCCTGGGGACGGCGATAGATGCCGTGTACCACACGGGCGTGGTGGCGTACGGCACGGAGTACTGGTTCGGCGCGGGCGTCCAGCGCGGCGTGCCCGGTCGCACGTACTTCGGACCGCCCATGGAGGCGATCCGGCTGGGGTCCACGGAGGTCCCGCGTGACCTGTTCGAGCAGTTCCTGGCGGACGTGAGCGCGAGGTACAGCCCGCAGCGGTACAGCCTGCTGTCGCACAACTGCAACCACTTCAGCGACGACGTCGCGCACTTCCTGCTGGGCGCGGCATCCCCTCCCGCATCCTCGACCTGCCTCGCCGCGTGCTCAGCAGCCCGCAGGCTCCCTGCTGGGTACGTCCATGCTGCTTCACTCTCATGCTTGCTCCCTCGCGTTTCGTCCTCTCCGCGTCCCGTGAAACCATTGCTGCCTGCGGTGACCGCTGCACTCACACCCTGCACCCGTCCGTGCTTGCTTGCACTGCTCTCCCCGCAGCCCCCCTGCTCCAGCAGCTCGAGACCACTCTCAAGTACGGCGCCGCGCCTCACCCGCCTTCCCCGCGCCGTCCCCCATCAGCGCGTCCCTCAGCTACAGCTCCCCCGTGCAACTGCTACACTCTCCGCCCACCTCTCCGCCCACCCCTGCCTCAACGGCCACTGCGCCAGAGCCCCCCTTGCATTCGATCACGGCCCCGCAAGCAGTAGGAGCAGCAGTAGTGCGTGGGACACGAGGTGATGCAGATGGCACTCAGAGTGGAGCGACTGGGCAGGCACAGGCGCCACACGCAGCAGCAGCAACGGCAACTCCAGCAGCAGCATCTCCAGCGTCAGCAGCACCTGCAGCGTCAGCAACAGCAGCAGTGCCAGCAGCAGCAGCAGCAGTGACATCATCATCAGCGTCATCAGCAGCAGCAGCAGGCAGTGCAGACGCTCGGGCCAAGGAGGCAGTGCACGCGGAGATCAGGCGGGAGTTTGCAGCGCTGATGGCAGCAGGCGGGCTGGCAGCCAGCGAGGCTGCTGCTGCCGCTGTGAGGCGAGTCATGGCCCGATATGGCTCCCTGCTGCTGCGGCTGCCAAGTCGTGACGCGTGGAGGGAGGTTCAGTGCGGTATTTGGTGCTAGGTGCTCTTTTTATGGAACCTTGTGCACGACAGGGAGAGCGCATGCTGCATATTGTGCCAGAGCCAGAGACTTGTGGCGCTGATGGAAATGCCATAGCCAAGAGTTTGACAGGCTGATTCTGATACATTCTCAAACCTGTGCAGAACAACGAGCATACAAAAGATCCAAGGCACAAGCGATATAGACAAGCAATTGAACGCTGCTGCTTGACATGACGAAGCCTCACCCCTGGTAATGAAAATCCACGCACTGTTGCGCGTGTACCCTCCATCAACCTCTTGGGCTTCCAATCCTCATGACCCGTCCTTTGCCAAACGAGAGGGTCTTGCTGGCGGTGGCATCTGCCGTGAAGGGCGTGGGGCGGCCGCGGCTCTTGCTGCGCAGGCTCTGGAAGCTGCGCGTGCTGTGCAGGCTGCGCGGGCGCGACAGGCGCTCGTGGGGGGCCAGGGCAGGCTCAGCTCCGTGCGCATGGCGGTGAGCAGCTCGGGGAAGCTCTCGAGGGCGTCAAACAGGTCGTCCACCAGCAGCAGGTACACCTCGCACTCCGTCTTTGCCTGCTTGGGGGGGGGGGGGGGAAGGGGGGCACGTGGTGAGGCTGTGCTGTGCGGTGGGCGCACGGCGAGCAACGGATGAACTGAGAGCTGCGTGCGCCCTCAAGTGTGAGGCAGAACCGGCACGGCACTCTACGGCACGGCACGGCACGGCACGGCACGGTACCTGGAAGGACGCCTCCATGCAGATCACAGACACGCGCTGCCCGCTCCACGTCTCCTCCCCCCGGCGCATCTCCAGCGCCCCCTTGAGCCCCTCCCCCCCCGCCACATACCCTCGCCCACGCTCTCCTTGTCGTACTCCACCCCCACCGGCAGCGTGTCCTGCACCGCCAGCGACCGCCGCATGGCGCGCTTCTGCAGGAACCCCACCCCCGGGCCCCCTGCTGCCCCCACTCCTCCCACTGCCCCGCCCAGCGCCCCTCGCACTCCTGCTGCCGGAATGGACATGCTGCTCCGCCCCAGCGTCCCCCCGTGCTGCTGCAGCGCTCTCACCACCGACTGGCGCGGTGGGTGGGACAGGAAGGGGGCCGGGAAGAGACACAAGGGGACGCAAGGGAGAGGATGGAAGAGGTTTGGGGGGATGGTGCAGAGACGAAGTAGGAAGAAGCAGCAGCAAGAAGAAGAAGCAGGCACACTTAGAGATGGGTGTGTGCGGGTGGGGAAATCGTGGGACTGGTGGGCGCGGAACGGCACAGCTTGCCCACTTGAGGACGCAACTCGCGATCAAAAGAAGACTGCCATGGCTTACTGCTGCTGTGGCTTACTGCTGCCATGGCGTACTGCTGCCATGGCTTACTGCGGCCATGGCTTACTGCTGCCATGGCACATTGTTGCCATGGCTTACTGCTGCCATGGCTTACTCCTGCCATGGCTTACTGCTGCCATGGCTTACTCCTGCCATGGCTTACTGCTGCCATGGCTTACTCCTGCCATGGCTTACTGCTGCCATGGCTTACTGCTGCTGTGGCTTACAGCTGCCACAGCTTACTGCTGCTGCCGTGACTTACTGCTGCTGCCGTGACTTACTGCTGGTAGCTGCACCTCCTCTGCACCCATCTCCATCGCACGCCCTTCCACATCAGCCTCATGGCCCGCCAGCTCAGCAAGGGCACCAGTTCCATCGGCGTCGATGCCCCCCGGCGCGCCAGGCTGCCCATCCACGATGCGCGTGACGTCCACGGTGCCCGAGCGCACCACATACACGTGGCGGCTGAACTCGCCCTCGCTCGCTATCACGTCCGCGGGGGCCACGCGGCGCACGATCAGGCACGGGAACACATGCGCCAGGAACGAGGGGCTGTGCGGGAATATGGGGCTGGGGGTTTGAGGGGAGGGGGGAATGATGGGTGGGTGGAATAAGGACGGTGAGAAAGAGGGCATGCTTGCTTGATTTGACACAACAATGAGACCAGGCAAATTTACTCTTGAGACTCATCTCACAGCGCCCTACAGCTCACCTGGGCGGCACGTGGCGCTGCCACCAAAGCTCACCTGGGCAGCACGGGCGCCGCCACCAAAGCTCACCTGGGCAGCACATGGCGCTGCCACCAGTGCACAAAGAGATCGGCGCGCAGATCGTCCTGGCGACCGCGGGCGAACGAAAGGGCGGGGGGGAAGAGGGGGGAGGGAGGGCACAGAGGGGGAAGAGAGGCCGCATGGATGACGCACTACTAGCCCAGTGCGCCTGTATCTAGCACAGGTACACACATTGAAGGCCCACAGTTGTGAGGCTGAAGCCTATTTGAAGTGCGAGGGCGGTTGGCTTACAGTGAGCGCGTCGACGAGATCACCCTCGTGGAAGCGCTGAGACAGCTCCGACTGCCACTTGCCCGTCAGGCTCACCATCTGGGGGGGTTGTTTGGAAAGGGAGGAAGAGGAAGGGGGAGAGAGAGTAGCCGGCAGCAGCGGCCTTAAAGAAACAGTTGGAAGATGAGGAAGGCATGGCGACCGTGAGGGAATGATGGGGGCAGCGGGTGTAGGCGCAAACAGAGCGGCAGACTTATTGTGCAACGGGCAAAGAGAGAGGAGTTGGAGAGCAGGGGAAGGAGGGGCAGCACGATACCAATCGGTTGGCGAGCCAATCGGGAATCTCCTCCTTCTCGATGAACCTGCTCGCAACACAGCCAGGGGGAGCAGCAGGGGGAGCAGCGAGGGCAGCAGCAGGGGGAGCAGTGAGGGGACAGCGGGGGGAGCAGGCGGACAGAGGAGAGGACGAGGATGAGGCAGCGATGTTGGGGAGGAGAGGGCAGCTTACGATGGTAATTGGAGGGGGGGCTAAGGGGGCAAGCAGGGCACGAGGCGGTCAACATGCGCCAAGAAACTGGCAGGCATGCATCTGGGTTGTTGGAAGACGAGGGGAAATGGAAGAAGAGCAGAGAGGCATTACTTGTGCAGAGAAGCACTATTTGTGCAGAGAGGCTTTGCTTGGGAAGAAGAGGGCAATGGAAGAAGAGCAGAGAGGCGTCACTTGTGCAGAGTGTTGCAACGCTGGCGCACGGACTCCCGGTGCGCGCGGCTGGCGTAGATGAGCGAGGAGATCTGGCCGATGGCGTAGCCCAGCAGGATGGACGTCACCAGGATGTACACCGTCGCAAACACGCGCTCCGCCAGGGTGTCCACCGGGTGGATGTCGCCGTACCCCACCTGGGGGGGCAGAGGTGGGGGAGAGAGATAAACTTGAGAAGACGAGGAAGTTGATGGGAGGAGTGAGACACGGAGTGGGGATGGATGGAGGGCGTGGGGTTAACGTACGTTGCATGAAATGGCTAAGTCAATGGGTTCAGAGGGCTGCACAACACAACACAACACAACACAGCACAGCACAGCACAGCACAGCACAGCACAGCACAGCACAGCACAGCACAGCACAGCACAGCACAGCACAGCACAGCACAGCACAGCACAGCACAGCACAGCACAGCACCAAGCACAGCACAGCACAGCACAGCACAGCACAGCACAGCACAGCACAGCGCAGCGCAGCACAACACAGCACAGCGCAGCACAGCACAGCGCAGCACAGCACAGCGCAGCGCAGCACAACACGGTGCACGCAACGAGGAAAGGAGGAAAGGGGCATAAAGACGCGAAGAGGAACGAGAGGATGGAGGGCAGGTTGTGGGAGGGCGGGAGGGCGGGAGAGGCACTGACGGAGGCGAAGGTGACCATGGCCCAGTAGTAGGCGGCGGCGTACACGACGCCGTGCGGCGCACTCTCCAGCGTCTCCTGGCTGCCCCCGTTGCTCCAATAGAACGCCGCCAGCCACGACTCAGGGGGCGACTCCAGGCGACCTATCAGGGCGAACGCACACGCGCCCACGTGGCACACCATGCAGATCTGGGAAGAGGGGAGGAGGGCATGACGGGGGGGCGGGTGAGAGCAGCAGAGCGCGGATCGTGCGGAGCACAAGGCAGGCCGGGCACGAGGGAAAGGCGAGATGAGTCCAGGATTGGAAAGAGAGAAGCACACTTGCTGCCCTCCCACCTGCAGCACCAGGATGCTCATCTCCCTCCCACCTGCAGCACCAGGATGCTCATCTCCATCCCACCTGCAGCACCAGGATGCTCATCTCCCTCCCACCTGCAGCACCAGGATGCTCATCTCCATCCCACCTGCAGCACCAGGATGCTCATCTCCCTCCCACCTGCAGCACCAGGATGCTCATCTCCCTCCCACCTGCAGCACCAGGATGCTCCTCTCCCTCCCACCTGCAGCACCAGGATGCTCATCTCCATGTAGAGCCCCGCTATCGCTGACTGCCTCAGCTGCTGCGTCGCCTGCCCCAGCCGCCGCAGCCGCAGCAACTTCAGCAGCCGTAGCGCCTGCCAGGGGGAGGGGGGGTTTTGGGGTGGGGGGTTTTGGGATGGGGGGTTTGGGGTGGGGGTTTTGGGGTGGGGGGTTTTGGGGTGGGGGGTTTTGGGGTGGGGGTTTTGGGGTGGGGGTAGGGAAAGGGAGGGCGAGGGGGCAGAGAACCCAGAGGTGCGGTTGGGTAGAGAAGGAAGGAGGAGGGGGAGAGAGGAGAGTCAAGAAGGGCGAGCGCGAGGAAGGGGACGGACATGCGGCACTTGGAGGGTGTGGGGGGTGGGGGGTGGGGACTGACGGCGGAGAGCCAGAAGCCGACGTTGGACTGGGCGAGGGAGGAGGTGATGAGGTCGATGGGCAGCGAGGAGAGCAAGTCCACCAGGAACCACGACCGCAGGTAGTGCCAGATGATGCGCCGCTGCCAGGGGGGGGGAGAGAGGAAGGAAGACATGGGGGCTCTTTCTTGTCCACTTGATGGAAACATGGATGGTGCATCCATACCTGCTCCATACCTCGCCCATGCCTGCTCCATACCTGGTCCATACCTGGTCCGTACCTGGCCCATACCTGGCCCATACCTGTTCCATACCTGGCCCATACCTGGTCCATACCTGGCCCATACCTGCTCCATACCTGGCCCATACCTGGTCCATGACGATCTGCTGTGGCAGCAGCACCTTGATGCCGCCCTCCGCCACAATGTGCTTCTCCCTCGTCAGGTACCTGCCAGCAAGGAAGGGGGGGGCGGGGGGAGAGCGACGGGCGCGGGGGGA